TTATTGTTCACTGTGGTCAGGATACTACTGGATAGAAATGTTTACCAGCAAAATGTAGATAGTAGGTAGCAGTGATCCAACTTTAAGGATAAAGAACCTCCATAACATTTTCAGAGCACAAGTTTAAATTATTTTATGCCAAAGTGAATTTGTAAATAATTCAAATATTAAGTCTTGAGTACATTATTACCAATTCACTGGAGCTTACCACTAAAATACCTCAAAAAACAAAGTACCAGTAAACACTGTGGCAGTATATGAGGTCCATTACATTATTGCACTCTAAAAGTTAACATCTAGAATTATCTATGCAGAAAGGTTAAACACTATATCAATGAACTGAATTTATAGACAAGTGTATTTAAAAGCAACAGTAGCACCCCCTGATGGAGCTACAATATATACATCTGTGCCCTTACACTCAAACGAGAAATTCCTGATGTTTGACTTCTTGTGAAGCACAATCAGTTTTGAAAGTTCACAATTCTATTTCCTGCCAGCACATACAACATGCTCTTGGTCACAAACAGCTTTACAATATAAAGCAGTATTAGCTTTCAGAAGGTTCAACGCTAACATAAATATGTAGCTGCCCTAGAGCTGTTGTATTATAGACACAATCCCTGAGCCTGCAAGGAGCCGTGTGTTTAACGTCCTTGCTGTATAAGCAGAGGGGGTGGGGTGAAGGGATCATAGTGAAATCGCTAATGTACGTGATGATTAAGTGTAACTCAAATACAGAGTGTGTTGTTCACAGGCCTGACAGGCAGTAATTTGGTGTATTATATTCCGCAGTTTTAATTGCACGCCACCAACGTGTCTCCGTGACACTTTATGAAGCGATGATGTACAATTATTTCGGGGCGGTGGGAGATCAGTGGAGTGACATTATAATCATCCTCATAGGGTTCCCTCTCTTCTTCTGCAACAACCATTAATGTTTAAATGGAAAGAAGAGAAGAAAAAAAAAAACATAAAAATAGTTCTCAGGGAGTTCTAACCAGAATCTGCTTGAGGATTATAGAGAATCACATCAGGGGAGAAGGAGAGGGGTGTGGATAGACAATAGAGGGGCTGAGTTAAGTGACGGCTTTCTCTGGATAAGCAGCGAGCTAAGATGCTTCTCTACTGTCACTGCCAGGTCTCACACTACTCATACAGGCCCGGGCATTAAGGCACATTACAGCGGATGAGCCACGCAGGGCGGAACTGATGGGCTATTCTGGGAACAGACCAGACAATCTCACAAGACAGGGGGGACATAAAAACCCTGACATGAGCCAGCCCCATCCTGTTAACAGTCAAATCACACACACAACACCCAACATGAATTCATGACTATATATACTCTCTCCAACACTAAGTCAAGAAAACTGAGATGAAGGAGGGGGGAGAGAGGGAGGGAGGGAGGGGAAGAAAAACACAATGCTGCCTCCTCCACACACAAGACAAACTTCTGCAGATCCCAAACTTTGTGTTGTGAGAAAGCAGCGTTTTGTTTTGGATTTGTTTTTTGTTTTATTTTTTCAAACTTTTGCTGAAATTCCTGAAGTGACACACAAGCAGCTTATGACCCATAATCATTAAATGGCAGTCCGCAAGAGGACTATCTATGTCCATTATAGTGTTAATACTTCTAAGGCCCGTGGCTGAGATATTAAACCAATGCTTCAAAGCATTTAGACGCTTTATGCATAATTTAACACCTACAACAGCAGTGGATGTCCGCTGCATCTTTGGGGAGGGCGAGAAAGCGGGAAGGTAGGAAATGCTGAATGCAGGGCCTTTCTGGTGGATGATGGAGGAGAGGAGGTGGAGGCTCATTAAGTGGCCAAGCCCCAGTGTGGACAAAACACGCTGGGAGAAAAACACAAGAATCTGCTGTCTCGCACAGAGGAGAATTTTTAAACCAATTAAATATGAGAAATCATATCTTGCATGCTAACAGCCAATTTGTGTGTGGGGTTTTTGTGCCATTTTTGCATTTTAAGAGTTCTTTATAGTCAAATTAAGGCCGATCCAAAGACAAATATAGGAAGACAAACTGATGTTTGGAAGGAAGAGAGTGAAGTGGTGACAGTAGAGGCCTTTTAAGTATCAGCAGTGATGCACGAGGCTCTGACCAGCACACAGGGCAGTGATTGGCAGTTCGGTCAGGGGTTTGACTCTGCTCTGCCCTTGCATTTGCATTTGTTAATTAAATGCCACAACAATATGATCTTTAACTATCAAACAACTTGCCCCCACACCCGCCTGAGAAGAGACCGACGGCGGCAGCAGGCTGAAGCATAAGCAGGATGGACAGATTTTGCACAGTGGGAATCGATACACATGTAGGTTTAACAAGAAAAACACACCGACGGGTGGTTGATACGATTTTTGTAAGAATAAAAAAAATATAATAATCATCGACGTCCTAAACCAACTGGCGATAAACTATGCTCACAAAACTCCATGTCCCCTGGAGGACAAAGAGTCAAAAAGCGCAGAATAGATGAATGAAGCTGAAATTGTTAAAGAACATCCGGAAGATAGCCTGGTGCTAATTGAAATGATAAATGGTAATTACACATAAAAATTCCTCTAAACTTTTTTCCTCTTTTTTCTCTTGGTTAAGTGAAATGTTGCCCTATCATTAGTATCCGCGGGGAAGGCAGAACTTAATCGCGGTATAATCTAACTTTTCTAGGTCACCCTAAAAACAAAACGGCTAATCACATTACGCACTACACCTGAAACACGGCCATTTATTAGAAACGTGACTTAGATCCAGATTAAGAACATATCGTCAAATGGGGAAAAAAAAAAGAAATAGAAAAGTTTGAGGGGCGGAGGGGCGGAGGGGGAGTCAGGTTATGTGTATGTATGGCTTTGGCCTTAATGAGGGTGTTTCTGGGGGTTTTCTTTGTGTTTGCTGCTCTTTAGTCAGGAGGAGGGATGGCCTGGTGATCAGTCAGTAATGAAACAGCACACACAGGGCCGATTTGTCACCAGTGGCTGGCACTGGCAGCACACGGCTCCTCCATCCACATGATTTGTGAAACCAGCGCCTGTACTTAGTAGTCCCATTTAAAGGCATATTGGTGAACTGTTTGTTGTGTGTGTTTGTGTGAGTGGGTCGCTGTGTATATGTATATACAGATGCATGTGTTGGTGAGCGTGTGCATGTATGTAAAGCTGGAAAGCTTGGTCAGAGCCCGACACACTTGCAGCACTTGGGAGAAGTGGGGTTTGAGCTGGAGGGCCTGTGAAACATGAGCCTTTCCTCTCATTAAAGGAGAAGCTGTGTTTAAACCAAAGCTTGTTTGCTTCCCCCTGTAATATGTTTGCGAACATCAGCGAGAGCAAATAAACACATTCGCTCTGCGCCCGGGCGTTGGAAGAACAGAATAAGCCAGCGACTGAACTAAATGGAACGGTTTACACAGAATTACACAGAGGGAGAAACTAATAACTCTACATATGTCTTCATCTTAGCGAGGGGGTAGCAGCAAAAGCTCGACGGCACAAAGCTGGAAATCCCACAATTTGCTGTATTCCCCAACTGCATGTTAAACAGCTTAACACGTTCATTTAAACATGGCAAGGCAGTGAGGTGGTCTACTGCGGGACTGAAGCGAGCTCAACACAACATATGGTCCACATGTAGGGGGTTCAAGGTAGTGGGATAATTGCACTGCAGTTCTACTACCGTATTTATAGGCTGGCGGTTACCAACATAAACTTCCACTTCAAACTTACTTGTACAGCTGAAACAATGGAGACAATAAAATAAACTATTCTTTTCCCTTTTAATCTTTAATTTGCCTTGATTTGAGAGCAGAGTGGACCATAGGAAATACACTTGACTGTCTGTAAAGGGGCCAGAGAGAGATTATTATCAGTGTATTGTGGCCAGAAAATATGTTTTTACACTGTTTTAAATTTTCTTGCTTTAACAAATTAATGTTTTTTTAACCAAACTATTCAGTCAATCAAACTAAAGAGCCTTAAAAAAAGTCTTTCACCTGGTCAGGTTTTTATTTGTTCCTCCATACGGTTGTAGAAATAGTTTTCTATTAGTACAACAAGGTGACAAAAAAATCACTTTCTGAACAGGAACGTCTTTACCTCATTAAATATTTATGACAAGGGAATTTAGGGCTATTCCCAGGACATTTTAAAAAGGCTAAATTCAACCAAACTCCTATTTCTGTACACAATGTGGCCTATAATTTGAATTTTTTAAAACTCTTCTAACTATTTTAGTCCTCTCTGTTTGTTTGGTTCTTTGGCAATTTTTACTCATTTTTCATGACCTCTAAAATGCTTTAGTTAACTGTTAGCTGTTCTGAAGCTAATGTCTAAGCTAACAGCGTCATGCTTTGATGGAAAAACACTAAACTAAAATGTATGTAGCTGTATGTACAGATTTTTTATGCAGTGACTTGGAACATATTTTTTTAGAATTTGTGTTTCTTTTTAATGTCCAGTTGTTGCAGTTATTATGGTGCAGTGCTCACACTTCCTGGTTGTGTATTTTTGAATTTTTGCACATTTTAGTGAATACTCGATTCGACTCGAATATGATGATTCCCTTTTTTCCTATTTTTGCTCAGATTAATTATCAAAAACAAACCAACTCAGCAACTCATATATTCATATTTTGTTACGATATGCTGTAAAAGAACATCTTATTCAAGAATATAAGCAGCATGAATGAACTCTCACAGGACATGTACTGGACTACCATACCAACCATTCAGATGGCCTGGAATGGTTTAAAGGTTGACAGCTATTTACTGCAACGACTGCGACTGTTGCTATGTGGCACAGAAATAACAGAGAAGAAAGAAAGCCATGTGTTGTTTTGATTTAATGCGACACAGGAGGTCCACAGACGAAAGCACAAGAAAAACTTAAAGAGTATTTGAAAGTATTAGAGAAGTTCTAAAAGTAAAAGCACTACATGTTCAGTACTTGGAGACTTTTCTTAATTTCATTTAATCTCAGTTACTCACCCGCAGATGTCACATTTGTACTCTCTCATGCCAAGGTGCCTCTTCACGTGGTTCCTGGCATCTCCCAGCTGTGCCGTTGAAAAGTTACAGATCTTGCACATGAAGGGCTTGGAACCTGCAATAACAATACAGTTAAGTGTTCATATGCTGCAATATTATTATGAGTGAAAGGAAGAAAGAAGAGAGAAGGATTTTTAATAAAATATGACTACATAACAGCTGGGCAGAAATCTGATTAAACATTACAGCTCATTTTTCAATGCCACGCCGGTTGGACTTATTAGTTCTGCACTGACATCAACCTGCTTCACAGCGACAAAATCACTCCAGACTTATAAAAACACATGTCCGTTCCCCAGTCAGCATAAAACTATGGTCGCAGCATCAACCACCTCTTCTTTCAAGTAGTATCTATCCTTGTCATCCGACTACGTCTCCTCCCAACTCTACCTTTGCCTGTAGATGTGTAAATTGGATTTCAAAGGTCAGGGCGCATACGTAAATCAATTCTATGTGCGTTCACTACCTCCCATTCCATCATTAAAGCGCTAATCACTCTGGCGAGCTTCACTGGGGAGGTTTCTCTCTAATTATTGTCATTAATAAGTCCAGGGGCCAGGGTAGCGTTTGAGAGAGTGGCAAAGCTTCCACCTGCCATCCGTCATTTAAGAGCAGAGCTGCAAGTGTGTGCTGTCCTGGTTTACATAAACATCTTGGCGGCACGAGTTAAACCAAAAGGTTAAAGTTGAGTTCGTCCGATTTTCGCCACCAGAACCAGATTTCAACTGGTATCAAGTAACATTTTAAATGGCGATGCTGTAACATCCACAGACCCATGTCTGAGTACGCACTCATCCACCCACTCCCAGTGAATATCCCAAGATGTTTTACAATATTTATTCCACGGGAAGCCGCTGATTTGATTAAGCACTTTGTGTAGATTACTAATTCGTTCATGCACGGTTCACTGGCTGCGAGCTGGAAGTACGACACATCGAATTTTGAGCCGGTAACGAAGATTGAAAGCCGAGTCTGTGTTAACAAGGCCCGTAAACACGTAGGGTCTGGCGTGTCCCTAAAGTACACATCATCCACAGATACAAATAAAGCCCCAGTGTAAATTTCCATACTTGACACTAAAATTGCAAGCACCTTCACACACAACAAAATCATCAACACCCATAAAAAGCAAAAACAAAGGCATTTACACCACATCCACCATCACACCTACACATACCTATATCCTGATTCACACAACATCACCCCACACCTATGTACGAGCGCACATGCAGACACACTGACTTGAAAAGACATAATCACACGTGGACAAACAGAAGGAGAGGCAACAATCCTCCCTTTCTTCTCACTCACACATCCTAAATTTGAGGTGAGAGGGAGGCGTGTGGAAGCCTGATTTGTCCAGATGGCTGGCGTATGAGTATGAGACAAGGCAGGGAGGAGAGAGATGTAACGTCCCTCAGTTCTCACATCTTATCACATTAATACTCCACCACTCCACTTAAACAGCCTCCCTGAAACTGAAATTGACCATCAATGGGGTGTCATGTTAAATTAATATTGCCATCCACATAAGGGCGATGGTTCTCCTCACATCCTGGATGAGACGGGGAGTGACTAATTCATTTCCTGAGGAGGAGGAGAAGAACCAAGCAAGCCATGTTTCTCCCCATCTCTTTTCTCTATTTCTCTAACACACACAAAATAAACACACACACACAAAAGGTTGATAATAAAGCCTTGTGTGTATCACTCACACTAGTAAAGGCACTGGATTTTGTTTTGGGAACAGAAAAAAATACAAAATCCAATATAGAGAAATGTATAAACACTAAATAAAAAACAAAATTCCAGAAAAAGGAAAGAAAATCAGTAGATTATTGATCCTTTTATTGAGACTATTTGTTGAATATTAAAATATTAGATGGGACAAAAAAAAGTAAGGCTAAAAATGTCATGAGACAAGATTTTAAGTGCCTCAATCAGCAGGTATATACTGAGGTAGTTATATATGTGTGTGATAAACTTTGAAATGCAATTATGAACATTTAAAAAAAGAAAAAGAAAACACTTGTTTTCAGGGCAGGATAACGGATTTAAGATAATACTGTAATTCTTCCTAAGTTAAAATAATGTGTATAAAACATTTTTGAGTTAGCAAAAAAATGTGTGTAAAGTTTTTTGGCAATTTTTCAGTATCATTTAACAAGCATCATTTCAAAGGAAAATATAAATGCATTTTTGAAACTCTGCAGCTGCAAAACGAGATAATTCCATAAAACAACAGAGGCGTTTTCAGTTGCAGTCATACTGCAGATGTGTTTCCAGCATTAAGAACACTGGACTGTTGCTTTACTGTAATGCAACCTGATAGCATCATTCATTAGCCGCCTGTCGTCTGAGTGCAGATAAACCTGATGACATTACCGGAGTAATTTTGTTTTACAAACTGTGGAAAGTTTCTTCCACGGCCACAGAGGACATCACACATTAGTTTTCACAGACCAAGTGGTGCCTTTGGTGATGAATTTACCCAACTATCTGTGCAGCGTTGGTGGAGAAAGACCACAGATTCATAACTACACAGACCTGCTCATAATCTGTCAACTGAGAATTTATGTGGTTGCCTGGTTTACAGATAGCGGGTGGTCTTACTGCGGATTGGTCCATTAAAAGAACCATACAGGATTAAGCAATGCTACAAAATTTGTATGTTGAACTTTGACATAAAGAATAAGAAACTGGGAGAGTCGCTTGTCGCTGTACAGTTAAAATTGACTGCACTTTTTTCTCTAAATTACCTTAATAAATGAATTCCAACTCTCTAAAAATATTAACAATGAATAATAGTAATTTTACTGGCTCAGTAGTGGCAGGTGTAAATGATGCCAATGGATTGTAACATACACCTCTATATGATCTCCATGTAAAATATGCATTATAATTCCTAACTAGAGCAACGGGCACCAGTGTTTCTAATAAATAAAACATACACACATTACTTTTATAGTTTTTTATTAGTTTTTTTAACATTAATAATTTTGGCAGATAAAAAATAATTAAGGTTCAAGCCAATCAAAATGTACTATTATAGCTATTGCATTTTAGTAATGTTTACCTACTAGGAGAATATCTTTTTTTTTTTAACAATTCCTCAATCAAAACTTCTGTGTAAGCATTTACATGTAGCCGACAAAGCACTTTTTTTTTAGAATGTTTCCCTAATTTGAGGGCTACAAAAAGCCTTGCTGCACCTACAGACAAACAGCTATGAATGACGTTACTTCTTCTCAGAGTCTTTAGAGCTGCTTCAAACCCATTTTTGTTGCATTAAATAGAAAGAGTTCTTTGATCAGATCTACTTAAATAAGAATTGCAGCAATCCTCAACTGACTAAAATGAATAACCTGTACATAAGTACATTTGTATGGCATCTACATCTCTTACTTGCATATCTTTTTTCTGTAATTATGAAGTGAGTGCAAGGGATAAAGATAGAGAGCACAGAGCTTCTGTGGGTAATTTGACATCCCATCCTTCATCATTTCAAATCTCTTTCTCTTCTTTGTATTTACATTTTAAATGTAGTCTTTTTTTTTAGTCAGGCTCCATTTGCAGAATGGACTGAGGGATAATAAGTACAGAGCATTTACATTTACCAATAACGGAATAAAGGAACTATATGATATGTAGATTAAAAGCACCGTCCACTCCGAGCTTCAGAGATGGTACTCTCTCACTCCAGTGTCTCCGAGGGCAGACGATGCTGTCGGAGATTTTAATGGCACACGATGCTTTGAAATTATTTATATTATTAAATAACATTTGAAACTAAATTATTTTACTATTTGATTTTAATAATTTACATATAAAAAATAAATAAAAACCTAGACAGTGTGTCGTTTAAAAGTGACAGGCCAGAGGAAAACTTACTTTTTAGTTACTCCCACAAATGCATCACATCCTGTGTGTAAATGTGCATGCATGGCAGGGGTATTCATTATGTTGAGGCTCAGTCTGGGGTCAGACAGCTCACTCCAATGAAAAAGTGACCAATTTAGCTCAAAATGCAAATTCCAACTGTATCCTCATTGGCAAAATACAGGCACACATGTTTCCTTTAAGGGACAAATTGACAAATCTATGTGCAGCCTCCCACCACCGTCTCCTGATTTCACTGATTAATCAAGTGAATAAAAGTAGGCCTTAATTAAAAGAATCTGGACGTGCTCCCAGCCCAGAAACTGGCAGACCCCCACCGAGCGACTTTACAGCCTCACAAACAAACTTCCAGAACAAACGACCGCCACATAAAAGGTGAGTAATTCACTGTAATGAGGGAACTTAGCAATAACGACAAGTGGCACATGTTGTCAAAATGAAGAGAAATAGGTGCTTTCCACAAATAAAGGCAGCATAAATGAAAGTGGAGGTGTAATCTTATAAACAAGGACATAACTCAGTGGAAGAAAAAAAGACGCAAACGTTAAATAAAAAACAACAAACCATTCATTCATTCATTGGAAACCTGAGCGTGCGCCCTTGACTTGGAGCCATCTGTTGGGACCTCAGAGTCACAGCTTTCATTTTCTTAAGTAACACTAAGAAAGTGACCTCAAAAACTCAAGAATTATGACACAGGGTAAAATCATGAATACATACGGGCTAGCCATTAATAAGTGGAGAGTGGGGGCTCAACATTAATCATCTGGGTTTTTACCTCCATTTTTTACAGCTTTACACAGCCTGATTTGAGCAATAAGCAATCTGACTTCTGCTCACAAGGTGACTGGCATACCGTCGTAAAAAAAAAAGGACATTCAACTTGTCTTTAAGTTAAATTACTGCAGCAAATACATCACTTATATGTCCTTTTCAGCTGCGGAACCAGGGAGGATTTTTTTTTTCTCCCACAACGGTCATGAGCACATGAGACAATAGACACTGAAGCAAAGGACAGAAACACAAGTAGAAAAACTTAAGCGTTGCGTTCCCTCTCTTGACAAACATACCCTAACCTTAACTATCACAAAAATAACCTAAATAATCTAAATACTAATTCTAATCTGCTCCTAATTCTAATGCAAATATAAACTAAATCTTTAACCACAAAATATTCTTTCACTCTGTGGGGACCTGCAAAATGTCCTCATGAGAATACTTTTATAAAACACACACACACACACACACACACACACACACATACACAGATGCAGCCACTCATGTACATATGTGCTAATCCAAGAGCAACGACTTCAATTAAAGTCCCATTAAAGTTTGTTCTGAAAGAGGGGTTGAACCATAGAAAGCAGAGAAGGGCATTTATTGATGGCGCCCTCACATCTTGTTCCTGCATTAAGTTGATTTTAAAAGCAATTAATACACATGGTCAAGGGAAAAGTAATGGAGCGCCCTATGTTCTTAACCTGCCGGACATCTCGCGGCCCAAGCTACCAACAACGCAGGCCTGCTTTGCATTATAAATGACAAGATAAATTTTAATGGATTGAGGATAATCAGCTAACCATGAAGGCTGACTATATACACACATCCAGCAGGCGTGCGCACGTCCACGCGCACATATACACAAACACGGACGTACGGACACAAGGGAAATTAAAGACTTTGAATACGTCTGCATTGATTATTTTAAATTATTAGCCCACCTCTCTTTGGACTTCCAATGCTTTTAGCCTAAGCTTTAACACATTTACAGAGACTTATTGACTATAATTACAACTGAGTCTTCGTAATGGACACATCAATTATGAGTCGCACATGTCTCTGACCAAGCGTTGCTCAGGGAATCCCAATCTGGGTTCCATTAGCGTCTCTCCTGCTGGTCTGAAGTTCAATCAGTCTTTACCTTCATCTCTACTCAAACAGCTATTACCTGGCTGCAGCAGATAGTGGCCTTAACATTAGCCTGAGCTGCCGGAGAAGAGCCTATATCTGCCCACTCGATAGTGCTGAGGCTAAAAACAGAGGCCAAGTAGCCGAGCAAGAACATAAAGAGATTACAGGCTCTCTTTATGACGTATGAGTGTTGTGTTTGATTGATCACAAAGCATCAAATGCCATGATGTGGTCAGAGTGTATATAAACTGTACATATATGCATACATACTGTATATATTTATGTACATACATAAAGGATGTGGTGTGTGTGTATAAGTTCTCTCAAATAGTTAAATTTTCTGATTAATCACAAGGTATATGTTAATTAATTAATAATGATAAATGGTGTTATATTGACATTGCTTAAAATGACAATAATAATTTATTTTGTAATATTTTTCCTGTTAATAGCTTGAATTGAAAGACAGCTAACAGCAGGTATACGTTTGTGTTTTACACCTGTTTTTATTTGTGATTAATCCAAATAATAAAATAATTCATATGGATGGAGGCCTTGTCTTGACTTCCCAGCAAAATACATTATTAGTTATACCTGCAACACCAACTTCCTGATTGGTCTCATATCTTGCTCTGTGAGATTCGCATGCACAGTGTGGCCAAGAACTAGTACTCTGTACAGAGTACTAAGGTAAGACCAGAAGTAAGCTAGCAAGTACGATTTTGAAAACAAAGAATTGTGACCAAAAAACATCCCCTCATTTATCAAATTTTGTGGAACCTAAAGAGCTCATTTACATAGGTATTTGTACTACATGTATGTATCTAGAAAGTGTGAGTATGTGCTCAGAGATACCTACCGGTGTGAGTCCGAATGTGTGCCAGAAAAGCCATGGAGTTGCTGCTCTTGCACACCTTGCCACAGTATTTGCACACGTTGCCCTGATTCTCCTCCCGCTCTCGGTTAATCTGCTCTGTGTCCTCCACCACATACTTGTTGACCTCCCTGAGGAGCTCCTCGTGTTTCTCCTTGATGTGAACGAACAAGTCCTGCTCTGAATCGAAACGTTCTGTGCATTTCACACACTTGAAGGTGGAGCCCCCTTCTGGCAGCTCCTCCACGCTGTTCTGCTCATTGCGCAAGTGAGCGGCACTGGTCAGGTGTTGGTGCAAGTTGCTCTCGGTGTAGAACGACTTGCCGCAAACTAAGCAGTGAAAATGCTTCTCTTTGCATGGATGTTTCATGGAGATGTGCACGTTCAGGCCGCTGATGCCGTCGGCCATGAAGCCACAGTCTTCACAACGAATCCGGGAGCTGCTTCCTTTGGCTTCCTCCTTCATTTCCTTGTTTTTCAGCTTCTTGACATATGAAAACCCTGAGGTCAGGACGTCATAGGGCACTGGTGAGCTTCCAGTCAGACACATCACAGCAGCCTCCCCCTCCAGGGTCAGACGTTGTTGGACCAACTGCTCCTGCTCAGTGAGGGCCTTCAGGGATAGAATGCAGGCGTCAAAGGGGAACACTTTGGACATCTGTGTGTCTGGGCTGTTGCTTTTTCCATCAACAATCATCCCATCATCTTCCAAATGTTCTTCGTCTGTCTCTTTACCTCCTCCTTCACCATCTTCTTGCTGTGTAGTCTCATTAGCTGCAGACTGAGGTTCTGAGGGTGGCTGCTGGGGGTCAGATGAAGCTGTAGGTGAAGTCTGCACTCCAGGGCCAGAAGTAATAGTTTCTTCTTGTGTTTCTCCCTCTGTGTCATTAATGTCAGAATTATCACATGCCGTGACAGAGGACACAGCTTCATTTTGACTTTCAGCAGCTTCTTCTGAACAAGATTCCAATTCTTCATTGGAGCTGGAAAGGACACAGGACTCGGTCTTAGAGTTTGTCTCCTTCAGTGTGGATCTTGTTCCATCATTCTCCAGTTGCCCCAGATGTTTCTGACTCTTCTGTTTGTGCTTTTCTGTGTTCACATGGCGCAACATTTCCCTGGTTGTTACAGTGTAGTAGCTACAAGCTAAACAGACGTACTCGAAATCTTTAATATGCTTTTGCTTGACATGGAGATGGAGTGCAGGGACCGACTGGGCAACAAAGTCACAGCGGCTACAGGGATTAACATAATCAGTTTTACTTATTTTCTGCTCTGTGTGGGGCTGTGTTAGCTCTTCTTCACTGCTCTCTTTAGAGGCTATGTTATCAGATTCCTTCTCCTTGTCTGATGTGTGAGTGTCTGCATCTATTTCCTGGGCTACTTCACTTGTGGCTCCTGGAGGCGAGACACTTGTGTGGTTCTTGACTGGTTTTGTGCTGGCACACTCCTGTGCACGTTTAACATGTTTCCTAGTGATACAGTGGCGATCCATGTCACCTTTGGTCACACAGCTGTAATTGCAAAGGGTGCAGCTGTACCCGTAGTCTTTACTGTGTTTACGGCGGACGTGTACGCTGAGGTTGGTAGCACTAGACACGACCAGGCCGCAGTAGCTGCAAGTGGTTGTGGTGCCCTGCTTTGGTCTCCCTCTCTTTTTTCTGGGTGGTTCAAACTCCAAACCATCTTCTTCTACAGACACGGCTTGAGCATACTCTGCACCTTCTTCTGTTTCCTGGTCCACTTTTCCCACACTTTCACCTCCTTCTCCAGTCTTGGCCTTAACGTCTGCATCTCCTCTGCTCTCTCTGCTCACACACTCGACATACACTTCAAATGAAGATACTTCAGCACTTTTCTTCCCCGTCTGACGTTCCATGTGACTGTCTGAAATCAGGTGATCTTCCATCCACACTGATGTGGCGGCAAAGAAATTGCAGAGCTTGCATCGGAACCACTCTTGATCCAGGTGTTTGGCTCGAGCATGGCTCTCCAGCAGTGCAG